TTGCTCTAGTGATGGTGCATTACCATAACGATGCAAAATATCTTCACAAACATCATCAGGGAAGCTACCGAAGAGTCGATCAGATACGTCGTCTGTAGTCAACGGCACATGTCGTTGTGAATCAACCGCCATTCGGGTGTAATCAAACCTTAGATAGAATTGATCGAAGGTCTCCCGTTTAGTATCCCAACTGAGCCTCTCCCATCGATCAATCAATATACGACGGGATTCTATAGAAAGAAAACGTTCTACCAACTCAGATCGAATACATCCGGCTCGCCGAACAGCTTTACGATAACTGGAATATCCTTGTTGGAGTAAACGTCTATCAACACCATCAACCACGGTCTGTCGAATAACATCAGACAAACACCTTTCCAAGTAAATGCCTTGGAAGAAAGCAGCACTAGGACCATAACCAATGTCCCACGAAGGAGTGCGTTCACACTCATGTAGGAAAGAGAGAACCGACCGAATATCTTTAAAACCTTTGAATAATCCTCCAGGTGGCAATGCCGCCTTCTCCGCTCTCTTTACCGAGTTATCATAGATCTTCTGCAGTTCACTCGGAGACAACCCATTCAATAAGCCGTCAGCATCTCCAGAACCTCTTGCCTCTATGAGACCAGCCTTATCTGTTGGAGGCACAACAATCGACGGCTTTAGCGGAGCTTCCTCTGCTATTGATGATAAAGTAACATCAGGCCCGTCAGCAACATCGGATTCAGCTTGTTGAGTAACTGTGACCACACCTGGATCACTCTGAGCAGTACCAACTGGCCTTACAGCCCCTCTGGGTTGTCGACCATTTAATCTCCGAGAAGGAGAGAAAATACTTCTAAGGAAAGAGAAACACGATACATTGGCAGTTCTACTAGTTGGCAGAGATGGCGACGTACCAGTGACAGGCAGATTAAGAGACATTGCTGATAATCTGTCTGCCAAACGACGGATCTCCTCATCATCAACCGAGTTACCATGGCTTCTAGCAGCAGTAGACATCACAATTATCAATCAAAGTGAATCTCGACGAACCGATAGTAGTTAACAGTTGAAATATATCCCGGTAGAATGTGCCAGTAATTGAGTATCAGACCTTGGATTGCTTAACACAAGAACTCAATTACCAGTAAGTGGTAATCAATAGATAGCAACTGGAATAAAATCTATGAACTTATGTATTACAGCTGATTGGGACTAGCTACAAAGGAGACAAGCTAAGAATCTCACCACAATTACACAGAGCAACCTGCTGACACAACACTTAGCCAAACCGGCACAGAGCTTCCATCTAAAAACGGGGAAGTGGTAAGTCGAGTGCTGGAGCAAGTTCTTTCTGAGTTCGGATTCTCAAGGGCATTGGCTACTGACGCAGACCTCGCTCTCAGTAAGGGTGAGGTACAAGCTCTCTGTCAGAGATAGGGGGTGCTGCAAGTGACTCACCCCCTTATGGCTGTATTCGGGCTTGGTGGGAACCTGGTCATCATCTACTCCACTTGTCCTTACGGCAGCTGTTGGCGTCGAATGGAGCTTCAGAGATGGATTGGCCTCGTTACCTGCAGCAGGCTGTTTGGGTATGTAACAATGCAATTCTGCCTTTGGCCAGTTCGGATGGCGAGAGTCTGACACCTTGCGAGCTAGTTCGGCTATGTGGTTCGGCCCCTCCTCCTTCTTGGAGAGCGGTGGGGGCCATGTCTGAGGAGCTCAAAGCTTACCTGGAACGACACTTCGTCGATGCCTCTCTCTCTCTCGTAAGGCCTTACATGCTCGCCAGGTACGACAAGCCGAAGTGACTCGCTCTTTGAAGGACTATCTCCGTGACTGGGACATTTATCGCCTGCGTCTTCTCGATAACCTGGACGCCTCTCGGCGCTGTCGCCAACCCGTGGGGGTGATCCAATTACCACCGGGGATATTGTCTGAGTATACTGTCCGGCTACGAAGCTGGCTATGTCCTGGTCTTCTCGGTTGTACAAGGTCATGGAAATACGTGCCCAAATTGCTCGAGTGCATCCTGAGTGTGCCCAACTCGGCGAATCAGATGAGGTGCAGTATGTCTTCAACCTCGCGAAGGTCACTGATATCGATGGCGACGCCGTGGATGACCGCTTCGTTGATCCTCAGCCTGCGCGTAAGGCTCCTGCGTGGGCTCCCGCAGTTTCTCCACAACCCAGCTGTAATGACCCTCAGCAGTCTGCGGACCGCGCGCACCGAGCTGCTCGCAGAGCTGCTGAGCGGGATGCTATGGGGGGCGGAGAATGCTGATGCTTTTGTGCGGTACGCATGCGCATCAGCTGGCTTGCGCCACTTGTGCTTGCGTACCTGCGTATCCATTTGTCTTGAGTACGTGCAATATTACTACTCTCTCTATTTGTCTTGCCTACTTTACTACACTTCTGTTTCCTGCTGTCTTAGTACGTACTTCCCTTTTAACCATGTCTGGAGTTGCTAGGAGAACCCGAACTAAGCGGGCTCGCACCTTGTCGCCTCTTCCTTCCGCCCCCAGCGGCAACCAAACCAAGGGCGGCCAACATTTGGCCCGAGCTGGTCAATACCTCAACCGCGTCCCAGCAAAAACCATCTCAATTACAAAATTACCATGATGATCGCGGGATTTGAAACTTGGATAGTCGATATCAAATCCTAACGCCTAACCGCTAGACCAACCGCTCGATTACAACATATACGACGTAAGGGGATCTCGGCTTGAATTTTGTTGGCGGCGCCAACTTGGCGCTCGTCCGTGGCGCGCGCTAGTTCCTTCACTGTTATCAGGGTTCGCGGGAATTTTTTTCCGGTTCACCATTTCCAAGATTCACTGTTTTCACTGACAACCCACAAATATGGTCTGTAGCACACAGTAAAGGATCGCACAGATAATAGGGACAGTGCTTCACGGCGGAGCGAAGCACGTCTCATCACACGTGCCTATTCACGATTTCCCTTGAAAATCTGAATTTACCCTGCATACTAAACTCTCAAAACGAAGATTCTTACGGCGAGCGAATAGCAATGAAGGGAGATCGCGCGTGCCCGAGGATGAACTACGGAACAGCAAGAACGCCGAACTAGCGAACAGTTACATGCGGCTCGGCACATTATGATGTGCGCATGATCAAGCTACAGAGAAAGCAACGCGTCATGGATCATGTGCGCGCGTGCTGACTATGGAGCATCCTCAATCTCTCACGCAGGTTATTATCGAAAATGGTCAAGACCTACACTTCCCTGATCACCGTCATTTGGTTTGCTCTGCTATCCATCATACCACAATGCGATGCCCAACTCCGCGCCCTGGGCGGCCCCAATTATGAATGCTCCACTGGCAGTTGCAATCCACCATGCCCTGAAGGCGAGAAGTGCCTCCTGCATTGGAATTCCCAATGTTTTTGCTCGAGGCCTTGAGAATTCTCCAGACAGCCTCAAGGTTTGTCCCTGGGCTTTGGACAACCTCACATGATTTTGTTCTGGACAATTTTTCCGCACCATCCTTATTTAGTCCACGCCGTGGGCTCCACGGCCTCATGATGAGGCCCTCATCAATTTTCTTTCACAAAACCAATGCGTCGTGTTTTCAATTGATGATTTGCTCACCGACGAGCAAGAGCTCCCAGAATCCCTTGGGAACACCTTAAGATCAGTGTTGCTTACACGAGTCTTGCTGAAATCCTTGAAGCACGTGGTCGAATACCTAATCCCGTAAGTGGCAAACCGAGAATACAGCTTCAACCCCAACAAGAAAACACTAACGAAATATAAACGTCACGCGGGGGAACCTGTGGCACCCTGTGTCGAAGGTCTCCCGTACTGGCACCTCCCAACCGTCCCTCTCTCTTCCCCCTGAGTCTGATTGATGGGAGGCATC